CCCCCACCCCCAACCCCCCCTTGTCCCCATCGTGTGATCTCGACATCCCTCATCATTCACAAAGTTGCGGAATCCTAGTGAGGGAGTCCACAATGTTGCGGAATCCTAGTTGCGGAATCCCAGTTGCAGAATCCTAGTTGCGGAATCTTGACAGTTGCGGAATCCTAGTTGCGGAATCCTAGTTGCGGAATCCTAGTTTTGGAATAACAGTTGCGGAATCCCAGTTGCGGAATCCGACCAAACAGTTGCGGAATCCTAGTTGCGGAATCCTGCGCAGTTGCGGAACTCGACTTTATCCCCTTGCTTCAGTTTGTCTATCCAGTATAGCCGGTGGAGTCAGTGCATGAGTTGGGCCGAATCATCAAGTGGTTGCACAGGGATCGCTCACCCATTCTATCAGTTTCATCAGGCCAAGCTGACGGGCATGTTTTTGACGAGCTATTATTAGACACCCTTAGCGGGCCTTTCAGGGGCCCTGGTTTACACGGTGGGCGAAAAAGACGGGCCGGGTCTTTGGCGGGTTTGACTTCATGTGAACCAGCGAATTTTAAGCAAGGTAACGAAGAACCACTCAAATCTGACGCTGTGGGAAGTTCCCGAATCTCACGTGCTTCGAAAAGAGCGATGTAGACTGATTCATAAATTCCCTCAAAACAATACGTTGTAAGTAAAACCTCTTCATGTGAGGGGTTATTACAATCAAGCGTCTAATACTTTGGGGCATCCAGCAACACCAAAAGACTGCCATCTCCAAATTGAGTTGGGCAAGTGGTTTGGTGGTGAGTCTGGGGTCTGCTCTATTTACAGCCTGGCTCTGAACCCTCTGTCGATTTCGCGAGGCAGCCAACCACTGCAAAGCTTCCAAAAGTGACACATACTATACCGAATGCTCACACAAATGCCAACACCGACTGAACCGATCCGCCGGACACCAGGCACCCGTCCCGCCATCCCTCGGCGGCTCGTGTCGCGTTTTCTACGTATTCGGCCGAGGCGGTCCGGGCCTTCTCGATCTTCCCTGGGATGTCTTCACCTCATTTGGAACCAACGGAACACTGGAACGGAAGCATGAGATGAAGAGAGCACCAGGATCTAAAAAAAGTCACAGCAGCTGCTTGGTCCGAAAATTGAAGCTTCTTCTTTCGGTTCCCCAAGAGATGGAAAATGGTGTCCAAATGGTGTACAATGCCATTCTAGAGGGAAGTTCTTGAAGGGAATTTTCCACTTTTCTGATGAAGTTTGTGGGAGGGGGACTCCATAGATTAGAATAATGAATACCTTGCCGACAAAAACATGAATGTTTACATGTGTTCTCTAAGGCGAGAATTTGGAATATCAAACCTACAAATCCATGTCGGTCAAATCCATCTATTATCCACCTTGGTGACGGGAATTCCCTGGCTAGACATCGCATGGCAGCTCTGAAAACTCTGAAAGCATCATGCTAACCAAGCCCCTAGTCCCCTAGCTTCTTGATTCCGTTCGTAGCGATGCCAGGAGCCCCGAGTAATTAGCTTCTTGTTAACCATGGATATCTACGTCTCGGCCACCTCACCAGGTCCACCATCTACTGGGGTCTATCCAGCTCAAGGTCTCACCAAGTCTGGCTCAGGTCCCAGACCAGACGGCGTCTGTGGAGACCAGCAAGGTTGCTGACATGGAACACAAAAAGAAGACTTAAAACAAGGAAGATGTCAACACATGGAGCAGCTTAAGTCTTAAAGCCTACCTGACCTTCTTGTTTAAAAGTGGGGAGACATTGACCTCATAATACTACTGCAAATCCCAAAAAACAAAGCCGGGACACCCCTACTTCGAGTTGCACGACAGGGAAGTCGTCAGACCGTCTGAAAAAGGGGAAGTCTGAAAGGCAGGCCAAACCATTGGGATTATCGCAAAATGTTGCCAGTTTTGTTCAGAAGCGTTACCGGGATTATGTCAGTTGGCTGCATCGCCAGAGCTGCAAGCGGGCCCCGCTTCCAACTGGCCCAGAACAGCTGCTCCGATTCCCTGTCGCCGGAAGAAAACCAGAAAAGAACAATCCACAAACATACGCAGCTTCGACTATGCTTCTTCTCAAACCCCTGGTTTAAGGATTCAATACCCAACATGACCCTTGGAAAAATATGGAAAAATACCTTGTCCTGAACAGGGCCCAATGACGACTCCTACCATTCACCCGATCAGAAGAGATCAAGCGTCCCGGCCAAGTACTTTGCCTCAGCATCGCCACTGGTGCAGCGGTTCCGAGCAAACAAGGAGCAAAAGAAAACATAACGGTATTGATCACACCGAGCAAAGCATCGGTTCCCGAGGTATACCTTTAATTCCTTCGCAAACTGGAACTTCCATGAGCTTGCTGTTGCCTGAGCAAGGTAGAATTGCCATCTTCCGAACAAGTGGCGAGGAATGTCTTTGTCATTCGGTTTCTCAATTCGTTTTGACTCTTTTTGGTCAGTCACAGAACCGATGGACTTTGGTCCTCCCATCTCCATAGGAATCTTATAGTTTCCCACTTGAGCAATTGAAACCCACCGAATAAAACCGGCCAACAGAAAAAAAAAAAAAAAAAAACGAAAAAAACCAGACCCAACCGGCGGCCCCGGGCCCAGCTTGTCCTCACAACGGATACTGGAAGCCTCCCAACGTCACTCGGAGGCGATCAAAACATGGCTGAAAACAATCAGAATCTGAACTTCCTTTGGTCGTGTTATGTCGCTTTGGTGGTCAAAAAATGGGTTGGCAGTGGAGTGAAACAGACAATGGCAAGCAATGGCATTCTAATGGGCTGCTCTTAGATCATCTGCCTGAACTGCTTCGAAGGAAGTCTTCGCCACCCACGGATGGGGGTATGCTTGGAATTGTCCAGTACTTCTTGTTCTAACACCTTCTTCCAATTTTCATTTGGTGATGGGGTGTGCTTGTAAATCTTTGTCTCAGAGGTCCAAAAGCAATCCTGGCCAAGCCACTTGAACAACCACAGAAAAAGAAGCCCCTCAGCAGCAGTTCGGCCTTCAAAACAATCGCCTCCGATGTCTACTTTCGAGTTCTGCGGCAATGTAAGTGGTTAAGAACATCGCCAAATCGGGAAAAAATGCACACAGACAGACAGACAGACAGACAGACAGAATTGGCCAGATGGTTGCTTCGTGTGCCTTTGCGACCTCCACTTACCAGTATTATCTTGAAGATCATGAAGACAAATATATAGAACATTGGTCCTGGCCGGTACCTTATCTGTTTCGTCTTCATACCGGTCAACGACCCTGTCTGACACGTCTGTACTCCCGTCCCTCTCCCCATTTTCCAAGCTGCGGGTCGCCACCCCGGGTCGCCCCACCTTGGTGCCAGCGTCGATGGTTTCTTTGACCTGAGGGCAAAGGATGGAGGCCACCCGCAAAGGCTACAAGGAACGGGGCTGCAAGACAAGGAACCCTCTTTTCTGATGATCTGACAAATATCCATCACTGATGTTCTTTGACCTGGTCTGAAACATGGAAATCAATGGTTTAAAACCAATACACGAACCACTGACATCCACTGGTCCGACATGAATGTCTCCAACGACCTGGCTGCCCCAATCGACGCATCCGGCGCTCAGGTTCGGCTTCCGGGCCACTTGGTCCATGGCCTTCTGCACCCGTGGGGCCACATCTTTGTAAAGAGCCACCCTGCCAGCGATGGTGCAGCGGGTTGGTGTGTGTGTGTGTGTGTGATTGTGTGTGTGAGTGTCTGTCATAGGGCGGAGCGTAGAGAAAACGGAGCCACTGCAAGTTGTTGGTGGAAACCTGTCTAAAGGGCAGGATTGACAAGCCTAGGCGATGCAGAAGGTAACAACTACCTCCATTCTCACAACGGTGGTTCTATGTTTGTTTTGAGAGCTCCAAGCCCTTCTAAAGAGGAAACCATTTCAACTCAGGAGGGACCACGAACATCCATGAACTATGGATTCCTCCAGTCTTTGCAGGGCTTCCCATTCTGTAAACAACCAAAAATGAAAGTGGGGGGGCCACCTCACCTCAACCGAAATCGGGCATACCGGGCATACCGCTCTTTTCGTCTTGAACTGTTGTCTTTCGCGAAGTCTGGGGTATGGAAGCAGAAGGCGTGCAAACATGAGTGCTGAAAGTGGGATCACCCCTGACATTGAGAGCAGTACACGTTCCAATAAAACTTAAAATGCATTGATGTTGTAATAAAACCACTGGAGTGAACACTGCCGGTTGGGAATGGCAATGTTATGGTGGCACTTGGTTCAATGCTGTGTTGTGGAATTAATCCTGTGATTGGCTTCCCCATATTCAAGAGCCCGCGTTGGAATCACTGAATTGTTCTCTCAATCTTGTGCCATGCATCGCAAACAATGTTTCCCCGTCATCATGTCCGAGTCACATGACCAGTCGGCACAGCACATTCTGTGAAACAAGACTACGCCAAAACCCCCAAAGAGTTTCTGCTAGACTCTAACTCTAGACATCAAAATCAGACGCCCTTCAAGCTTCTCAAGTATGAATGTTATCAATATATTATATAGACTGACTGGCTTAGATGGAAAATTTATCCATTGATTGTCTGACTGGCGGTAGGTAGATGGTACATTGTTTTCCATTAACTGGCATTGGGCGGGAAGTTTCTCCATTCTGAAGGTAGATGGAGAACTCTCCATCTCCATCTGCAGAAGGTGTTCCTCCAAAAAAACTCTGCGCGCTTATTTCTCCAAACAAAGCCTTCTGGGTGTTTCCTGAAATTTGGTAGATGGATAATTTTCCCATCTACCGCCAGTCGATGGAGACTTCTCAGTCTGCCTCCAGTCGATGCAGAAATTATCCAGATAACCACACTATGAGTTATATTTGTTCAGATTGATCACGGAAATGTATTGACTCGGGAGTTTGGCAATCCCATGGCATCCACATCATTGCAAACAAACCTTTTGAGCAAACTTGATGCTACACTTTGACTGGCAAAGTAAGTTGGCAGCTGAGCTCGGTCGAGCGGTTTTTGGCAAGAAATCTCATGGATCGCAAGCCAACCCGAGCTCCCACCAGTCCAAACTTGTCATCAACCAGTAGCCTACCAGATCTCGAGTTCGAAGACAACTGCCACCAAGAATTGGAACCGCATGGAACTGCAGGTGTGGTAAAAAGGTCTTCCTGTCTTCTATGGGTTCCAAAACCTCAAACCTCTTCCATTTTCACCACCAAAAACGGATGGAGAACCCATCCCATCCGACTCCTTCCAGTCCGCGCCGTGACTGGGCCCCCCGGGCCACGAGTCACGGGACAAGGGTTCCCTTCGAGACCTGGAGCAAACATTGTGAAATTCAGCTCTCAAGAGCTGAGATCAATCTTCAGAGCAGCAGTAGAGTTTTTAAGGGAAGCCTTCTGCCCCCAAAGACATTGAGTAAGCGAAAGTCCTCAACTGACCACGGATTCGCCTCAGAATTCCGGTCGCTCTCGATATCAGGAGAGCCCAGTGAGTCGATTCTTGAAAATCCCTTCAAAAAGCACAACCCTCAACCATCTCTCTCTCTCTCTCTCTCTTGCAGTACATCATCCCTGGGTGTCGGGGCTGATAGGGCATGCGAGTTCCTTGGAGCGGCGCCAGGGCCAGTTGATCCTCCACCTCTGGGCTGTCCTGAGCTACGCAGAGCTGCGGAGCGGTGGGCGAGTGGAGAGTGGGAAGACAGGAAGAGGGATGAAGAGGGACAGGTGCTCCATAGGTCCTGAGGTACCCATGCCCCACTCACTTCTTGGGCTTAACATGATTTGACCATTTCACCACAAGTAACCCCCTTGGAAGGAGGTTTGACCCTGCAAAGGACATGCTACATGAGCACTGCATGTGGAAGATCCAGCTTTTGGCCCACGACCTCCACCACCCTAGTTTCGTTGTAGATCTGCTCATGTTTATTGGGTGTGTTCACAATATATTGACAATCTATGATGCCTACCCTGGTTGAACCCCCAATGTCAGGGACGCCAACCAATCGAACACTGTCCATCGATGTCCGTCCACATCTTCACGATCCATTCGTCCATTCGTCTCCACCCCGCATGTGTCGTCCCCCCGTTCCCCCGCACCTCGTCGCCGGTGGGATCGAAGGCCTCCTCGGGGTCCCACCTGGAAGCCCGGTCGACATCGGTCGGACGCGGCGGGTGGCGGACGTGTGACATTCATGGCTGGACGGTTGTCTGATGTAACACCCATGGGTCGGGGTGAAGGAGATGAGTATCCAAGATTGTACTGAAGGGCATCCCTCTTCGTGCGGTTGTTTGGGGACCTGGGAGCCGAAAAAGAAAACAGGTTGTTTGGCGCCCAATCTACCCAATCATGGTCTAAACATACAGCGACTGTTTGAGTGGCATCTGGGGTTCGGGGACCTAAGCTTCTCACACAAATTCGGAAATGCAGGAATGACAGGTTTTGAAGACTATGACAATGACACAGGAACTGAACAGGATCTGTGACCCGTTTTTTCATTCACTTTAGGCGGATTGAAGTGATGAGAGGTGCCTCTCTGGCGCTTTGACCCATGCCCTGCGCCTTCCACGGACTGAACTCGCGGACGGAGCGTTCCCGACTCGCGAAAGCGCTTTTCAACCGGTGTGTGCGTCAGAAGGGGGGTCGTTCCCAAAAGGTTTTGCTACGATCGGAAGCTACGAACGGAACAAGTGCATCGCTACTAGGAACAAGTGCCTTAGTAGTAACAAGAAGCGAACGTAGAAACAAGTGCATCGCTTCTAAGTGAGACGAGAAGCTACGAACGGGGCTCCTGGCCGCAACCTACGAACGGAGCGATCGGACGCTACGAGCAGGGGGCTCCTGGCATCGCTACGAACGTAACAAGAACGCTACTAGAGACCAACATCTTCCACGACCCCTTTCGATCGACAGCCAACACGTGTCGGTTGGGCATCTTGTAGTGCGGCACCACCGTCAGATCCTGGCAGACACCGGAGGCAAGACACCGGAGAAGTCGGTCGGTAAAAACAGCTTGTACAACCAGACCTGCCACCATGGTAGCCGAAGAGACGGGGTACCCTCACAACTCAAAGGCAAGTACCCTGAAGAAAACCTATACCACGTGTGCATTCACAATACGTTCATGCAAGCAGCAAAGCATTAAATATATGTTTCACTTCAACAGGCCATCATCGGGCGTCCAATTGGCGAAACAACGAATGAGGTATACCGTTGCTTTCAGTCGGACCTTGCAACATGACTCACTTGATTGATCCGACAGCTGGTTGATATTGATATACTGTGTATATATATATATACACGCTACGTGTCTCACAATAGATGGAAGACTCTCACCGCACAGAGGAGAGGTCGAAGGCCTTGCGTGACTTCCCACAATGAACCTCGCACTAAACCTTGCAGCTCTATTGAGCTCTATCAACCTATATAGGGTAGTCATCATCTTTGAGGCCTTAAGGCTTCCAAGATTTTACCTTTCCACATCACAATTCTTCCGAGTACTGCTAAAGAAGCTGTGCAGAATAGGAATCAAATCAGCAAGATAAGGTTGTCATGAACTGCCTGGTCCAGGGCTTGCTGCTGTTGAAGCCTCCTCTTCTCGGTACTCTAGATCGCCACCCGATTGGTCGTCCTTCCTTTGCACTGGCAGGCCGTGGAGGAAGATCCGGTCGGCCTCACCTGCCACTGGGACAAACACCGAGCACATCGGGCGATGTTCACGTAAGACCACTCCAGCCGAGAAGGAGTTCCGTTTTGAGGGATTGACGGGGCGTGAACTCGCCTCCAAAACGAGAAGAACTCAGGTGACTTTCCAACCAGGGGAGTCGAAGAGCCACCGGACTGGGCCGCTCTGCGACGCTGGGGATGACGCTGAGTGGAATCCCAATGACGTGGAGTCGAAGATCCGACGGAGAGACGGCGGAGTCGAGACTCGCCTCTCCCGGAGACGTTTCTTTTAAGGCGATCCCCGTTGGTTCAAGTAGTCATGGAAGGTTCTGCTGATGAGTTCAGAAAAGAGTGTGCTTGGGCTTGGGTTCTTTGCTGGTTGGCACTTGAACCACTTGTTGTTTATAATCAATAGCATCAATAGCATAGATGTAGAGCAAACCCCGTTCGCTTTGATGGCTGTTTTGCTCATCCCAGAACAAGGAGTCTGGATGAATCTGGGCAAAAAGACATTCTTTTGAACAGGGAGGCCACGTCTACAGTCACCAGGTTTGGGTACAAAGGCAAGTCGAAGGGTCTGTCTAAGACCCAGTTGTTCACTTCTGGGACCTTCTTCACTTCTGGGAACCATGTAAAAATATATATATGTGAATTCATTACAAGTACACAATTGCACACACCACGGCCCAAGCAAAAAAGGACTCCAACATAGTACAACGCGCGTTTTCACCCGAACCAACCCGCGTCTTCCCCACCGACGAGCTCGCAAGCGCGCTCCTCGTAGCTGTCTCCGGCGCATGCTGCCGCCATCTTTGGCCCAGCAGCCCTCCACCAATTCTGTCGCGGCTGTGGACGCGTGTGACGTCCGCTCTGACAGAGTGAGGCAGTGCTTTTACACGGGAAGGGACGCACCTGAGGAACTATGCAGGAAAAATGGATCGAGATGAAGAGTTGAAGGGAGATGTCCCAAGATTTCGAGCAGTGCGGCAGTGCCCGGACATCTGATTTTTGTTGCACCCCCCAAAAGAAACACAAGTATGCTCAAGGGATCTAAAGGGTCCTCCTGAAGCTGATGGGACATGATGGGGACTCCATTTAGGTAACAGGATCCCTTGCCTGCTTTGGATGATGTCTCTGTGAAGATGCCAGAGGAATATGAGAAGAGCCCTGCAGTCAACGCTAGCATGACATAAGCGTTTGTGACCTCTGATCAGCTTGCAGCTTGACTCGGATCACACCACCTGGGACCTAGCGACTTGATGCCGATGCCGGATGTGCCACAGATGCCGGCGCTTACTCTCAGGTGGTGTCAGGCCTCATCATTCACCACGGGTGGCGTCGTTTTCACCCAAGGATGTCCAGCATTTCAAGGCTGTAATTCTTGGGCCAACCTCCAAGACTGACACCAACTTAAGCACCATGTTTCTGTGTGTGTGTGCCTTGCAAAAGATTAACTTCAAGCATGGATTCTCCAAAAGCTCTTCGTGGTGGCATTACCTTAAACTTGCACAGACTGAGCTCCTCGAGACATCGAGCTTCGTAGGCGAGACATCTCCGTCGAGGAGTCGCATACCCAGACACTCCATGTATGGCATATATGCCTACATTAGGGCGTTTCAGGGGTCAATGTAGGCATATATTCCATACATGGAGTGTCTGGGATACATTGTTTGACACCTCCGGTATCTGTAACACCAGAGCGACTCGGATCCAGAGCGATGTACACGAAACACAGAGATTCTAACACAGTTCAGTCACTTCAGAGTAGATGATGCGGCCATTCCAAGTACATTCCAACAAACACCTTCCATGGAAGTGGATGGCCATTCATGGCCCACTGGGAAGACTAGTGGCCTTTGAAACCGTGGGCGTGAAAAATTGTGCTGAATCAGAGGGCAGTTGAGAATCAAACATCCTAAATAGAAGCAACTGTGCTGAACCTGAGCTCATCTACAAACCACAAAAACGTATCACACGTTGCAGCTGTCATCTGCAAATGGTTCGCTGAAGGGTAAGCAACAGAAAAAGCCAGACCGAAATCAGAACACCTAGTTTGAGCATATCAACACTCACAGGCACAAAGCAAGTAAGCAAAGTACAAGTCAAATGACTGGACAAATGACATATCTTTACATTTATATGCAGTACACTCATGTCCAGATCTGGTCTCAGCACTTCTTCAACCCACTCTCAGTGGCATTCCTGGAAGTTGGCTGATATCGCTATATCATCAAACCTGTCTGCGCATTCTGCGTCTTTCCTTGCTTAACTCCTCTTCGATTCCTCAATTGTATCTGCTTTCCCGGTTGAGCTCCGCTACCATCTCTCTTAATCACACTCTGTGTTCTTCGGATTTTGGATCGCTTGGAGATATCTGTTTCGAAGATGATTAAAAATTGAGGGTCTGGGCATTCTTTCTGTTGTGAACAATCCTTGTGGATCTTCTCTGTGTAGCTTTGCTTTTCTTCTTGCGATCAGTTCTTCTTCGCCGTCTCGATGGCTTATGCTCTTACACCGTCGAGAAGATCTGTCAGGTTAGGACGCATTGTCCGGTCTGTAGGCACCCCCTTCCAAACGATTTGACAACCCAAGTTGCAAGGTTCCGCAAAAAAGAACGTTCAGGAAAGGGTATTGGAACATCACACCAAGCGGGTGGTTAATACCTGGATTAGCCTGGATTGAGTCTCATTCTGACTTAGAAACCACGGTTGGTAGCCACCAACCTACCCTGGTTATTGCATGTTATTGCCACCCTCCTTGCCTTTAAACTCCAGGAGCTGACTAAACCCAACTAGTGCGTGTAATTTCATGTTATTTCATGCTATTTCCAGTGAATCTCAAGCTTTGCTTCGTAGATCCAAGTCAATCCAGACACGAAACAGGACAGTTGCTATCTCTCCAAATAGTTTAATCTATATATATATATGTTATATATATATTATATATATATATATGTGTGGGTGTGTTCAATGTGTTCCTCCTTTTCACCGACCAAAGACCTGACCCCGACCATCCTCCAAACCGCTCGGGTTCGGTGCCTCCTTCGAGCATCTTCGTTTTGAAGACACAGTTCCTGGGCGCTCCGCCCGGGATGCGCCCGGGACGGGCGACAGCAACACGTCGATCGCGGCGGCACGGGACGACATGAGTCTGAGAGCATCTCTGAAACGCAAAAAGGGGCGTTGAACATGGATTGAGAGCAGATTGTTCACTCCACAAACCAAGGGGGGTTAAGGATCCTTCTCGGACTGTGAGGGCAAGCAGCATCAAGCAGCATATCCATCTCTATATATATATATACCTGGATCTTCCAACTGTGACCAAAAATCAAACCAAAGGCGGAAATTTGGCATAGTTGGAAGATCATTTCGATCACCCTGCTATTCGGCTCCTTTCGGCTCCTTTCGGGTCACTTTGGATTACTGGAACATCACAACCCCTTGAGCTCCTTTAGGGTACCATCGGGTGTCCTCGTTTGGGCCCGAAAAGAAGCCACGCCGATGCCACGGCGATGGTCTCCGGTGTCCGGCGATACCCGGCATTCCGGGAACCGGTGGGCAGCCGGGGCACGGGTCGGTTCGCCACTCAAACAAACCATCAAAGGAACCTTGACCCTCACTGCCATAGGAAGAGAGTTGAGTAACATGGTGCTGTTTCTCTTTCTCAACTGAATCTGAACTGCCTTGTGGGCGGGAGTGCGGCGGAAGTCACTGACTCGTCACATCTCCTCCGCGCCGACTCCTCCGCGCCGAGGGACTCACACTCCTCACAATGGCTCCGATCAAAGCCTGAGAAAGGCGAGGAGTATCACGAGTGGGGCGAGTGAGTTGAAGAAGGATTTAAATGCTTTAGTGCTGGCGATCTCAAAACTTTTTTGGGAATCCTTATACTAAGCGACAGTGCTGACAGTCAACGATGTTCTTCACCATCTATGGAAAAGGCTCACAAAAAGCAGCAAAAATAGAAATTTCGGACTGCGCGGCGACCGCCACTCCGGTCTCCTAAAAAGACGGCAGAGAGTCTTTCCACCTCAAAAAATACCTTTTTTAGGCCAACCAACGAAGGTCAATCTCTGACTCTGAAGAAACTCAAGCAGCCCGATGGCGACTGGCGGAGTCAGGTGTCTTCCACAAGCAAAACCCAATCTTGAAGAGGTGGCCTCGTTTAGGGCCCGGGATGCTGGGATGACGGATGACCCAGGTTCTCAATGTAACGTTAAAACGGTGGTCATTGAACTCTTCCATCTGTTTCTTTGTGATGGGGCTCCTCGAATCGCCTCTTTTCAAAATGGGGATGCCCACACTCGCAGTTATGTCAAATAATACTCAGTAAACCTTCCAGAAACTGCTGAATTAAGATGTCATGCGTTAGCACTCATCACAAAACCATGGCCACCCTTCCAACTTGAGGCTTAGCTCCAAATTACCAGCCCTCAGTTTCCCGGCTCAAATCTTCGCATGTCCCACCTAGGCCGCGGTAAGAGATGAAACATGCGTGCTTGTTCGGAAAGGACCACAGTCTGTCAGGACTATCTCTTTAACATGTCTTCCAACCCAAGTTGTTCTTTCACAGAGATCAACAAGACCGTGAATTCCTGCAACAAAGTGAACTGCCGGTACAAGCGCCCCGGAGGTCCATTTAGTGGTCACATGCGCCTTGACCTCATAGAAATCACGACCTCATAGATGAAAAAAATCGCTTTGCAAGTTGCACGTACCCCGAGGGCGAGGACAAAACGATCTGCGGATCCGGCATTTGGAGACCTCTTGGACTTGGTACGTGCCCTCCTGCAGCTCCTCGTGGCGTTTTGCGTGAAGGTGGGGTTGGACAAAGAGAAAAACACATTGAAAAATGCAGAGGTAGTACTCTGCCAGGTTTCCGAGGATAGCCGTTCACATGTCTGTTGCAGCTACGACAGCTACGACCCTTTGAGGAAGTCACGACAAAGTGTTATTTAAAGAAGATGCCCACTCCTACAGTTGTCAAATGGCAATGCCCAACAAAAACGACATGGCTCACAATGCTCACAGTGATTCCACTGCTTTGCAAAAAATCCAACTCGTCCATATATCTTGAGGGTCACTCATGTTAACTTGCGGCCCCGTGGTTTCAATGCAAAAGGGCCGATGGGCAAAGAAGTAACCACCGTTTCAGAACGAAGACCGGGCACATCCAGGTTGTTATTCACGCAGGGGACCTGGCGCCCCTTTATTAATAGATGTAAATTGGGGAAAACAACCCTCAGAGTAAGTAACCTAATTCCAGGGGTATGACCAACCCTCAAATCCTACTTATGCATTTTGAGGCCATTGGCCACAGACATCACTATGCTATCTTGCATGTAGGAAACCAATCGTTTCATAAAATGAGGAGATACTGAGCATCCAGGTGCAAGGAAGTCGCTTCAGTCTTGTCTGAAAACTTCGCTGTCCTGTTTTTGTACGTATGGTTTCTCTGTCTTGGCTTACACTTCATGCCAAGATCTTGTCTCTTGGCAGCTTTCACGAGCATTCCAGAGACTCCCAAAGACCCGAAAGGATCACTGTGGCAGTGAGACATGTGTTGGTGGTCGTAGGTTGTTATCAAAGAGGATATATTGCGTGTGTTTGTGCACACTTGCAAGCCATGAAACCTGATGAAAAAACAAAAGGCCACAAACCAAAACAGGTTGAACAAAGCAAACACTATTTGACGCAGCAAACATCAGCCGTGGAATCCAAAATCGTGCGCTTTGGGAAGCCAATCTGGTCGAGCTTTTTCAAGGCGCGCATCTTTGTCTCTAATCATTCTGCTCCCACACTCTGAACAACTATGGACCATGGACTATGGCTCTCTGGGTTGTCATCCATCTGCTTCGCCTGCGTCAACTTACAGAAGATGCACCGCACCTTCTCCCCTTGTGACTTCTTCAGTGCTTTGTGGCTCAAGTTGGTCTTCCGCACTTTGGCCTTCTGGAAAGCCAGCGCGACTCTCTTGAAGCTGCGTCTCTGCCTGGTAGCGCAATCACACTTGCGGCTTCTTGCAAATGAAGACTTCCAATTCTCAACATCTGCCCTCAGCATCCATCTAGTAAGCTCGACAAAGAGGTGGTCAACGCACATGTGGCCGATGATTGCCTAGTGTCAAAGTCTTGCTAAGACATCTTCGATCTTCAACCATATTCTCACACTCTTTAATCAAAAAAAACAAGAACCATCAAAGTCCCAACTTGCTGGTTTCTGCGAGTTTTGTCGACCAAGGCGTGCACGAGGCAAACCCAGAGCACACAGAAAAGGCCATGGACAGTACTTGACAGCACCATACCGAACCAAACAACGTACTTGCCAAAAAAAAAGATGCAAGCGGAGAGCAGCGAATAAAGAGTAGCTGAAGTCCTTTTCATTCCAAGCTTCTCCAAATTAGTACCTCCCGACTCGGCAACGTCTCTTGGCCCCTCGGCGTCACCGCGAAACACCAGAATACAAATAATAACACTCATTCAGATTATTCCAGGCTACCTGTCATGGGCTCATCCTGCAGTTGCACAGGGAAAGAAAAGCTGACACAAGGGCTCGCTGCGATATGGGCTTGCCTTCACAAAGGCATTGAGCCACTGTTAGTATAGAATGCGGTGCAACAAGCCTGGGGTTAGGCGTTTGTCTCCTGCACGCTGAAACCTCCAGAAAACCTCTTCTGTCTATCAGGTCCATTTTGTCGACTGGTCCCATCCGCTCATTGAACTTTTCCTGCTTCTGCTTATTATCGCCTCTGCAGGATGACAGCTGGAAGGTGCGAATGTCGAACTACATGGCAGAGAACACAGCTACACTGATTCGATTTGCCCTGACCTCTCGTCCACACACCTTCGCGACCATTGAGAACGCAAAGGGGACCACGCTTTCAAGCTACCAAAAGTGGTCTCTCTTCGAGACTTTGCATTCCGTGCCACGCTGACGTATCTAGGCTTTTTTTTGGCGATTTGGCTGCGTGCCACCATGGTCGTTTTGAGCTTGGTGCGCTTTTTGGTGAAAGAGTTTTTAACGTGCATGGTATTTACTATAGAAAACTTCACGTTTGAAGATGTTTGTTGGTTTAAAACCTTTTCCTTGCAGTGACAGCAGCGCGCGCCGACATCTTTTCTCGTCACTTCGTGTGTTTGCTAATCGCCTTATACTTGCCGAAATTGCCAGCTTCGCACACAATTGAGCAGTTCTGGATTCATCCCATAGCATCCACATCGAACGTTCATCCCCGTAGCATCAACCATGAATGGTATTACCCCAGCCCATCCAATAAAGACACATACCTCCCACGACTCCCTTGAGGGACCTACAATTACCAACAACAAAGTAATATGGATCCCAGCACCAATTGGACCACCGTCCCCAAACAGCTGCCTTTTCTCCCTGATTTCGTCTGAGGGGTTGACCTTGCGGTCCGGCGGGAACCGCGTGCTTTTCGGCTCCTGGCCCTCCTCGTTCTCGAGATGCCGATGCGAGAGCGACAGCTTGCCATTGGGCGTGGCGGCCTGGCCAGGTGCCGGTGAGGCCGGCAAGGGTGGCCAGGAATCGAACGAAGGGAGCCGACGGTGCGACGGGGCGACGCTGAGGTGAAGGCCATTTGACTCAAATATTCAGTCAAGCACGCGCTTCAGCGCTTGTTGAGCGCTTTTGGAAAGAGAGATCCGATCAGGAGGTGCCAGATGCAGGGTTTTCTGTGTCTCACCGTGTCTCACCAACTTGAATGTGTCTTGTACAGGCAGGCGAGCATATTTTGTTGCACAAAGGGAGCCTCCAAACCAAGCAGTGAGTGTTCGAGTTCCGATTCGGTTGCCCGTTGCCCGCTTAGAAGTTCAACCTCACAAGTCACACAAACAGTTCAGACACTTCATGGTCCCTCACACCATCGTCTTCCCCAGAAACCATCTATTGACAAAGCATTGACCCCACACCCGTCTCGCACCTCCACCGGTCCCGGTCCGAGAGGAGTGGAGACCCTCCCCAGTCCGTTCCAACCCGTCCTCTCCCACTCTGCCTTGACACACAGGCAATCCTCAGGTTCCTGGCAAGGCCTTGGCTTGACTGAGAGAGAGCCGTTTTCTGAAAAGAGTCGTTTCTGGAGCAGGTCGTTTCTGTGGTAGCACTATATAACTGGTTATTCTGTCTCATGACATTCTGGTCCACACCTCAAGCTGCCACAAACCTTTAGAGGTCTGTGCCATATGAGCACAAACCTTTAGATAAGTGTAGTCTAGTCATGAAAAAAGTAAGCAAAAAGGATATAACATGGGGCAATCCGAGCACCCGTAGCCAAATGGCAATCAATGAAATTTGATCCACTCTATATCCTTGATGGTGATAGCTTTGTATGATGGACCATGGTGGAACAAATACTGCACGGTGTTTTGTGGCTCCTCTTGTCTTGATTAGATGGCCTTGCACTCCCTGCCAAACGGGTTGCTACAACTTTTCATGAACTACCAATCAGGGGACAGCGGCCAGAAAAATAGATGAAGCTTGCCAGACCAAAGAAGTATGCTTCAGGAGTTGTTGGCCGCCAAAGTGAGCCGTCGAAGCGCGGACAAAATATGGACGATTCCAAAAGGTCTTCCTTCTGCCTCGTGCCATCCAATTTTTAGGCTGCGTCAGGATGACAAGACCTGCTCGTAGAGGTCACACCCTGCGTGTTCGTGCCCCCACATCCCTATTCCCTTGGCGACCCTGCATGCCAGGACCAGCCTCAAAGCCTTGCGCCGAGTAGCAGAATCCTGCCGAGTAGCGAGCCCACTCGAATCCGGCTCATATTCCTGATGCATGGGTGTTGGATAATTAGATGGATTCCTAGAAACGCACGGGATATGGCGGCTTTGTGCAGGAGAACCATGAACAGATCATGAGGTTGGTTCTTGGATGTTGATGTGTCCTCTATGAGTGTGTTCTTGGGGATGCTGATTTTGGAGCTATAGACAACAGTTGTGCTCCAGTATACAAGTAGATTGAATATATATATATATATATTAAATTATATATATATAATACAAATATAATATAATCCTAGTCAAGGGAAGGTAGTCTTTGATTGTTTGATGCTTGAATTTGATATTCAAGGATTCCTTTCCGGCATGTCCGGCATATTCACCATGAGCGCCAGCTCGGACACCTCATATCTGATGAACACCCGCAGCACACCCGGATCATCTGGAAGAACGTGTGCTCGCCATGGCCAACTTGCGTGAAAAAGAGGGACCTCATGAACTGCCGAAGCAAACACCGAGAGATATCCTCCATAATCCCCCTATGTGATAGGAACCCTTTTCCTCCCAATCTCCTCCACATTGACCAGAACGGCCTCCAGGCCATCTACGACTCCACTCGCTTTCGCCCGCGTCTCCTTGCTCTTCCGCTGGGTCGCCGTTGTCCTGGCGAAGCGCGCGGCCGATCCGGCGAACCAGCCGCAAAAGGTGGAACGTGCTCACCCCAATGGGCCGCAAGATGGGTCGTAGTTTGAGACGTAATCAGCTGGCTAGGTGGGATGAACCTCGTCAGCTCGTCATCTCAGTTTCGAACGAAGGATCCGTGCCCGAGCCGCGCATGCTCGGGCAGCTGCGTCAAGGGGTTCCAACCTTGGCATGGCTTCGACTTCGATTCTTTGCCAGGTGACGTGGGCATTCCTCTAACCCGAACGGAGTGTTTCCTCTACATTCGGGTCCCACGGTCACAGATTTCAAACAGATCCCTGAGGTTTTTAGTGGAATAGACCCGTCCTAAACCCATCGCCTCACGTTCAACGACACCCCGACCCGCCCCGACCAAGGCCCGCCCCGACCCGCTCCTTACACTTTCCGGCCGGCGTGATCTTCCCACGGGCCTCGGCGGTCGGCGTTCTGTGTCGTCAGCGGGGTCCGTGTGGATCCGGGAAGGCCGCATTTACGCGACTTCAGAACTAGATAGATAGTCACGGCAGGACCCCTGCTTATGATTGCTTAGGTTTCCCCTGCAAACGTGATATATCGCGATGTTGGACGACTTCCATGTACACCTCCCAAAAACTATATATATATATATATATACATATAAGTTCAGCTTTCTATGTTAGGCAGCGGCAAGATTGCTTCATGCTGGTGTGCTATATAGTTGTTATTGTGTATTAATCTCCCAGGTTCGGACGAGTTTCTCCTGTTGAACATGTTCTTCAGCTGTGCGGATCTAATTGAGGCATCTTGAGGCTCTGTTCAGACCTATACCTATATAATGAGTCTTGAAAGAGACCCCCAACCGAATGGTGAGCTCCTTTACCTGTCCGAATGTGCGTCTTCGGCCGAACGGCGCGCCGTTCTTCTCACTGACCGGCACGACCGGTGTGATGATTTCAGATTTCTCGACCCCGCTTCCGAAGATAGGAACCGATGTCCGAATGATCTGTTCGATGATTTCGCAAGAAAAGAAACAACAACAACCTTCGTCGGCGGAACTCGGGGCGATCGACCGCGGAGGCACCAAGACTGCAAAGTGCTGACGGAGGTCATCAGGATTGCTTTTCCTGCTTTACAATATGATACCATGTGCACCACCACTAGACATGGAGGACCTGGAATGGGCAAACCATGAACAACAATAACAACAACAGCAGTCCACCAATGATACCTGAATGCCAAATACACTGGTCCTCATTAGTCTAATGAAAGAACAAATATATATATATATATATATCACACAACGAAATCCCTTCTGCATCCACTCCACCAAAAAAACATCTCATCGGGCTGCCCTGCGGGACAACCCACCTGCAGATGGGCCAAGTAAAGCTCCAAGCAAACAGTTTGTGTCATGTGGCAAACCTATTTATTTATGTTGGCTTGGGGGAGGGTACATAGAGTATATTTATACAGTAAGTGTAAGCACAAACAGAAATGGCGAGAATCAAAAGCGATCATAGACTCATAGACAACTTTCTTCGAGAGGGGCCACGTCTATATTAGTCGGAGGCCACGTGAGTGTCTGTATATCCACCCCCACCTGTCTATTGCGAGGATGCTAGATCACCATACTGTCGCTTCTTTGCCCTGCAACCCACCTCACTGCAAACTAGTCATGCAGCTTGTGCATGTTCTACCCCAAAGGACCACTGGAGAAGACATCCATTTTCACAAAGGGTTGCCCCCAATACCAACTGCGTTGTTCAGGACTTCATCTGGGTCTTCTACACTTGGATGTGCCATTGGTTAAATGTTTGGGCAAGTGATTGGCGTTGACGCGACCCTAAATTCTCACACATTATACACTGTACTGAGGCAAACAAGCTCTGCGTTCTGTATCAGAGCCGGCCCAGAGCACCCACACCTTGAGCTTCCACAAAACAATGTGCAGACACTGCCAAACTCTCCAGGGGGCTACCTTCTGATAGACCAGGAAGCTGTTCAAATCCAACTTGTGAAAAAAAAAAGTAAAATGAAAAGATTCAAAGAACCAAAAACAAGCGGCTTCCAGGGGGGGCCACTAAAAATACTATCCGAAGCAAACCCATTGATGATCCATGAGTCCATCGCGTTGTCCGCGTTGTGTTCCAACCCTCGCTTGCCCAACTCAACAGGCCTACCGGGCCGTCCGGCCCGTCCTTCTCAATTCGGTGTGCTCTTCAAGAGTCTACAGTGGGATGCTCGCATCTATAGAGTTGAGTCACCTGCTGGATATCAATCCGGTTTCTCATGTGTCTTTGGTCCTTCATGGTCCTTCTGTCCTCTCATTCCAAATCATTTCGCTGCCGATCCGAAGTGGAGCGGAGGATCCGACATGGCAAGTTCCCTGCAGCTTGCTCCAAGACCCCGACCTGGACCGGTCAGCATCGGACCGGTCACAAAACCAAACAGACACCGTACCGCCGCACCTCATAGGTCTGCAACCAATTTCTGAAGCGATCGGGGTCCGAAGGCTCCATCCTGACGACAAAAAGCCCCCCCCCGGCCGGTCCAACGGGGGTTCGCCCGCGGCGTGTTTGTTCCGGGAGGAACAGACGAAGAGGCGGCCCGGCTTGGTGGGAGATAGACATGTCCATGAAAGTTTAGAGGGAATCCGCTGAATTGTCTATCAGTTTGGAGGGTTCACTTTTTCTAGATCCGAAGGTGAAGAGCCCCAAAAGAAGAACGTGTCAACAAACATCTGGAAATCCGCTGACGGGCCAACCTAAATGTCTTCCAGTTCGTGTTTGGTGCCAACAGCTAGCATCAGGCATCAGTTCTTTGGCACACCCACATTGATCTACATCCCGCACCACTTCAACTCCTTCACGTTGCTGTTGAGGCAGGTAAACAATACAAAGCATCACTGAGATATGTTCACACCGTGAAGGTTTTCTTCAGGGCTCTCCGAAAAGAGGGTATGTCGAGAAGGGTACACTCTTTGAGAGTCAATTGGATTTTTGTTTATGCGTTTATGTATGTTTCTAATCCTTGTTCCAATTTCCTGGGGGCCAACATGTAGAAGGATCCTTGGGTCGAGCTGCCTGACCTTTAAAAATCAAGTGCACACCACCTACACCAGGACCCACGCTTGGGGTGACTAATGGACACCCCGAATCACCTCTAAGGGGCTAATAGACACCATCCAGGGGGCCCTGTCAGCCATACGAAGCACTGAGGCGGCGGCGACCAAGTCATGAAACCCCAACCTAGCGATGGCCTCCAACCTAGGAGTGATGGCCTCCAACCTACTAGCTTCCCTGACCCCTGAGCTCCGAATCAATGTGCCCTCCCTTGGGGCCACCAACGACTTCACGCCATGCTCCTGGTGATAAACACCATCATGGCCTGTCACAAGCACAGCTGGGAGGAAGACCGCGATAAGGTGGAGATCCACATCTTTACCTTAAGCTTCGAGCCATCGTCGTTTCAGGTCCCCTGGTCACCTGGTCACACTCTCCGCGCGCGCTGGAAGAACGGAGGTCTATCGCTTTGCCTAGAGGGAAGCTGGTCAATTTGGAGGCGCAGGTGAAGCCAGGAGCCTGAGAAGTGCCGGTGCTTCGGCGCTTCGCACCGTTCGCAGCGGTCGCAGCGCCATGAACTACAGAATTCTTCGGTTGGCTCGCCCTTTGCATACACTGTGCAAGCATGTGCAAGCCACAAGTAGTTCGTTGGTGAACAAAATTGCCAACCAGCTTTGGAGATATGGAAAAACACTTGGACCCATGGTGGTGTCGAATGAACACCTTGAATCACCTCTAGGGGGCTATGAATGGACACCCCTTGTGGGGCCCTGGTACATACATGTAAGCAGAAGTTCACAAGTATATAGATTAAATAACCCATTCTTTGATTGGTACATCATCACCCCTTGTGTCCCAAAGAAAACGAAGACACCAGGGGCGCCCGAGCGCATTGGACGGCCCAGAAGCTGGAACTCTGTGGCCTCGGAGAGGCGCAGAACTCGATGCGCACGGCACCAGGACGCACCAGGAGCGATGTGTGATTCACTCCTTAACCATCCTGAACCTCTATAAGGTTTAATTGATGGACACACCAAAGAAGAGTAGGGGATCCAGGTGCGCACCAACGTGCCTTCTTTTGTTATGTGGAGGTGAACCAACTGTGAGATATTCAAGAGCAACTCTTCGATCTGACTGGGTCACTGTTTTAGGTGGCGGCAAAAGAGCATTGATCCAGCCTCGAAAGACGAGTAGCTCTAGGATCCATGAAACATCTGCCACAAGAAAGCCGTACTTTGAGAGGGAAACCCCGAACCAAGGGGTTTTGGTAAATTTTCCTTCTTACAGGCGGTCTTTGGGAGGCCTTCTTTCGGACTACGGTTACTCTGAGCCGTGCATTTCATCACACTCAGAGCCCACGCAGAAGAGACTGCCAGGCCGCCACCATGGCTGCGCCGGCTGGCGCCGGCGGCTGCCGTTAGCCACCCAGCGGCTGCAGCCAAACAGGCTAGGGTACAAATTTCTTTAAAAAAAAGGAAACAAATTGTTCGAACACTTGGTATCTAATGGTATGTCTCCTGTAAAGAGCTGCAACATATGAAAACTATATATAATATAGAATGAAACACAATGAAACGAGGATCAAAGAAGGCCATCATCCTGTCTTTCACATCGACCCTTAAGAGCAGCTTGAACCGAACAGGCAGCTCGTCGGTTTGGACTTCTGTGCTGCGCCCACAGCGTCAGGGGCCCTAAGGATGGGATGCACAAGGCCATCACCCAGCTGCAAGTGATGGCCTAAGTGTTCCAACCGGTGTCTATCAGGTGCTTGGTTGCTTTCAGGGACTCTTGGCACTTGGACAGTTTAATTGTTCCACCTGCGGCTTCACCTGCTTGATATTTATACTCCGCGAAGTCATAAGCACACTCTAGTCTTTCTTACCGGAAAAGGGTGGTCCGATAAGCCACGACGAAAGCCACTCAGCTCAACGACTTTCCTCTACAAATACAGCACAGTTCACCATTCGACTTCAAGAGGCCTATGTCCTATGATTGTCTCGACCAAATGGGGGGGTCAAGGACTTTTGAAGCCTCAAAGGAGGATTCCCAAGCGAAGACACAATGAGTAAGAGTACGTAATAGGAGGTCCGTCCTCGACGGACAAGAACTTGGGTATATCATCTACTGATATCTACTGCTCATGGAGTTGAACAGCCTTTCACAAGCAGTGCATGTCCCAAGCACGGTCCCCTTCCGGTGCTTCGCATGTGCTTCGCATCCCACCAACCCAAAAAGCCCAAAAGGGGACGGGGAAAAGGTTCCACGAGACAGACCCCGGAGCATCCGAAGACCGGATCTCGATTTGGGCAGATCAGAATGCCATGTCTTTGGCCGATCAGAAGCCCTAGGGATCCACTGCCACCGTACCTCAGAAGGTCCAGTACTTGGACCCTCCATGCCTATATGTACAAGTCTCCAATCACCTTCTCAGAGGGTATGTGGATCCAAAGGGAATGATAGAAAACATAGAGATCATAGACGGGTCGATGCCAGGTAGCATATTGCCTATTGATGGTTCACTGCAGGGAACCAAGAGTAATAAAAGGCCACCCATGTTCCCAAATGCTGCCAGTGGTCCAAGTCACTTTTCCGGTGACATTGACCTCCAGACTTCCATCTTCAATAAGCGACCTCGTGCGGCAGACCTCGTGGGGAGTCCACTTCAGCTTCATGAATCCAAGTCAGCTACCGGCTAAGCCACCGGCTAAGTCAGCCCCGACGTTCGTTCTAAAGGATCCCCTCCAGAAAAGGGGAAAAAAACAACTCCCAAATCCCCAAATCCTTCCTTTTTCTTCGATCCAAATCCGCTCCGGCATCCGCATCATCCGCACAACATCCGCACCGCGGCTCCCCGCCGCTCAAGCGAGCGCGGAGCCGCGCAACTCGGACACCACGACCTGAGTCGGGCTCGGGTGGAGCGGAGCAAAGCCCCATGACGATCTGGTCGTGGTCGGGTTTTGCTATGACACCTCAGGTGTTGGACACCATCTGAATGTAAAGGCCTCACTGTTGCCGCTCTACCCCTGCGATGTGAGAGCCAATTCCTAAGCTGTGCTTCTCCACAGACGGGGATGCACAGCTTAAGGTCTCTGAAATCATGTAACGATGTAACCACTTTGATGACACTACAACACAACGAACAACAACTCAATGTTCATAAGATCTGAGCACCGAGGATCGGCTGTCCTGACTCTGGAGGGGGAACTTTTGGGGGGGGTGACTGAGACTGGCCATGTATTTGACCTGGGTGTTTTTGGCTGGGTTAGACGTAGACGATGCTGTTCTTAGCTAAAACATCTTGAATGGCAGCAGTGTACCAGTATCAGAAGTGAGTAGGTTGTTCTGCCATCGCTACGTTCGGAGCAAGGAGCAAGGCAACGTAGCGAGGTGTTCTCTTGCTGATCCGATTTCCCCCTCCTGGTCCGGTCCCACGGTGCCAAGGGGCGCTCGCCATGAAGAGCAAGTAGAGACCGGCCAGGCTAAAGGTCCCAAGCCAACCCACCTGGACCCGCAGGAGGGGCGGTGAAGTCGTCGGTTCGGTGAACCAACGCGTTGGTTTAGGGTTACGGGTTCGAGTGGGTGTTGGGGAGGACACAAGGGATCTTGGGGAAGAATGTTCTTGAAAGTCGTTCCTAGTGAAAGTCGTTGTGGGCGTCTGAAGTCAGTTTTTCCTGAGAAAATCAGAAAACAATCCATACTGATAATTACTGGAAGACAAGCTGTTCAGGCTGCAAAATTGTTCACTACAATGACTTCGGATGGTGTTGATCTTTGCCATTCATGTCTGTTGTGATGCCAAGGCACAAACAGTACCCCTAAGATCCCGTAAGATTTGAGACTTCTTTGAAAGAGTTCTAACACAGACCGGGAGTCAAGCCTCTACTCGGATGTTTTGCTTTCAGGTGCTCAATTTTGTTGAACTCTCCAAGAAAACTGACCTCCCAAACTCTGATTCCTTCCGCCAACCTGGCAAAAGTCACCCCCGAAACTGGCTACCACAACCACCACGACCAACATCAACACCACCACAATCCGCCACGCATGCCATCCGAAGCTCCCGAAGCACCCCCCTTGTGTTCCTCCAAACACCCACATCCCAACCACATCATCTGCCAATGTTCTTTTCCTACACCGCTTTCCCATGAAAAGCCCTCCCCGTCGGGAAAAAAAAAGCGTTCTCAGCGCGGGAAAAAAAGCGTTCTCCGAAAGCGCTTCACCTGCTTTTCGAAGTTCAAAGCGCCCAGCAGCACCACACAGGCCACGATCGCCACAGCCCCAGCCTACAAAAGGAAGAAACGCCTCGAAAATGGGCAAAGTGTTCATGAACCAGGTCCAGGCTGTTCCGTGCTGGGGATCCTGGCCCCAAATGCGAAATCTCCCCTCAACATGAACATGACCCAAGAAAGCACTGGCCCCTAAGAAACATCCTGCCAGTGGCTCGCCTGCACTGTTGATGAATATATATCCTGCTGCAACACTGCACTTGTGTCGAAACACCAACTCACGGCCAATAGCAATGAGAAAAGAATTGCGAATGGTCGCATGGTCGGAATCTGGGGTTTCCTGGACACTACTTCTTCGCTACCCCTACTAGTGATCCAGTTGGGAAGTGTTTCGAAGCAACTACTCTATATATGATATTATTTAAGATAATATAAGCGTATTACTCGTATGATACTGTCCCCTTCAAGTTTCGCCCTTTGGTCACGCAAGGGGTAGTCCACCCGATTTGAAAACGCCGATTCGCCTCTGGTCGATCCAAACCACCCTCGATCAACCCGATCGCCCCGAGGTGTGTACCGGCGGGGTGTCCTCCCCATCAACCTGATTGGTGGGGGACTGTTCTGGTGGATTTGGATCGAACGAGACCGCGGGGGTGAGACCGCGGGCTCGTCTCCCTCTTTGAGCTATACGTGGGTAGGCGTATTCGCAGGGCTCTCCACGTGGATGGCGTCTGAAACGAAACGCCCCACGGCTCACCATGTTTCACCCCCTGAGGGCGCCTTGAGCTGCCCCGTGGCATCTTCCAGCGCGATGACCTGCCTCGAGAGAGGAGAGAGAGTCTGACTTCCACCGTTTTCTGCACTGGTGGAAGTGGTTTTCTCAGAGTGAGGAGCACCAAGCAGCGATGTTTCTCAGGGTTCCTACACCAGCTATGAGTGGGAACAGCACCCCACAGCACCCCAGAGTCTTTACGCTGTTCCCATCTAAGGGTCTCACCTCATGGGCAAGCTCAGGCTACTGACGGCCCCCCTCGGCACCTCCCAGTGAGTGACCAGTGTGAGCTCTGACTCGGGTCACGGGGCCCGCGCACCGGGCCCGCTTCACCGCCCGCTTCACCGCCCCGAGACACGGATCGACAAGGGGCCCGTGGCTGGTGGTCAAGATCAACGTAAGACCTCCGGGTGCTGCGGAGAAAATCGACACCCCCGGGTCCACGTGACGAGCCAGGCCAAAAAGGAGGGAGACAGCCAGTTCTCTGCCAAAAAGGCGTGATCGACGGGCAATCCGGGGCCTCTCGCCCTTTTAAAGGCTTGCCCAATCTATGTCACAGCCCCCTATAACCCTGTGGTGAACCGCACCGATGATGGAACCGGACAAGTGTTTTTCTCTTTTCTGGATCCCGTTCATGAAGCACGTGCGTGGCGTGAGTCATGATGTGTCAAGAGAAAATACAAATTGCATGGCACCACGAGTACCAGGGTATACCTGGGCACCCACGACAATGCTACGCAAATGCTACGCCCTATAACAGAGTAACATGGAACCAGAAGAACCACTAGGTGGTTGTAAACGATGTTCTGGTCCATGCCAGGTAGGGGGAGACCCGGGTCTCTATCCTCACCACCATCGGCTCCTCACGATCGGAAAATCAAACGAACGATGTCTTGGAGAGATTGGTGGTGAAGTTTACGGAACTCAAAGGAAGCCAAGATCGAGCTGTGGTTTTCCATGGTTGTCCCTTTTGTTTGGGCATGTTCTGGTGGAATGGAATGGGTGATTTCTTCAAGACCGAATGGTCAGAAATTGGCAAAAGTCTGTGAATTCCCTTTGCAGTCAAAAGACCCTATTTATATATATTATACATATACGGCGACCATGGGCGACCAATTTTTTGGAAGCACACCCAAAACCGGCCGATCAGCAGGAAGTTGATGTCGAGCGCAAATAGAAAAGAGCAAGAACCCTTTGAAACCTCTGAAGAAAAGTGAATCGCTCATTTTCTCAAGCCGTGCGTGGGAATTGGGGTGAAACAAAAAAGACACATGCAGTAGATATATATATATATAATTATATATCATCCATCTTGGCCAAAGGCCGCCTCAGTTCCAAGCCAACACCCGTATATTCCTCCGTCTGCGCTCGATCCGCCGCCTGCGCTCACCAGGACGTTGAAGAGCGGAGCGGCGAAGAGCGCCGTGGCCGCTGCCTCGGACTGGCCCTGGCGGGAGACGGAGAGGCC